CAACAATTTCTGTGAACAATTTTCTGAAGATGACCTATAATGTGAAGAGAAAAAACAAGCATCATACTCTAATGAATACTTCACCTGTCACCCATGTTCAGACCTTCTGCTCTACACTAGTTCCAACCCTGGTCATTGATGGGCACTGTCCTAGCTGAGCTAAATCACTGTGGAAGAGAGATGAACCCGCAGAAGCGATCAGAATTCTAACGGATAGAACATCTTTAGAAAGATGCAGAAGATGTGTGTGGCCCAGATGGTATAACAATGTCAAGTGACAGCAGATATCAACAGTAGTGGCTAAGAAGGTGATGAGTAGCGCTTTCTCCATGTCAATTAGTAATAAGAATAGGATAAAGCAGAAAAAGCGTATGTTATACTAACAGAGATATTAGGGAAGAATCTTGCCTTCTTTCAATCATGCTAGAGAAGAATCAGGACAAGAAATCTGTTTTACCAATAATAAACATTAAGTATTTACCAAATTGTGTTTGCATAGCAGCAAATGCTGTACGTAGAGCAGATCCTAGATGTCATTACATGATCACATGCATTCAAAGTAAAGTCGGCTTATGTCCAAGAAGAGACAAATAGTTTTATAATTGCTGGATAAGGGCAAAACAAGTAGCAGGAATCACAAAAACTAATTCACATGAATTCTATGTGAAATCAGAATTTTGTGATCTCTTAGAGCACTTTCCAGACTTGTAATTTTATAATAACACAATTTTGGCCCTTCATATGAACTTTCTGACTAAATGGGACTAAAACAGGTAATACTGATTAATTAGTACAACTTTAGCTTATAGCTACGGCACTGTACGATTGTTTTGCTGCAGTTAAGATAAAGAATGGCAATGAAATATTAACAAGTAAAGAAATCTATGCCTTGAAAATTTCATATCAGCATCTTCACTAAGCTCTATAATTATGTGAGTTGTTCCCCTGAAGGCATCTATATTGGGTGCAGGCGTCAAGGTTTTGGTAGTGGGTGGGGCGGTAAGGGTGGCCTCCCATGTGAAGAGGTCAGGGTTTGCCCAGTGCCAGATACTGCTGGTTCCAGTTGTCATCACAGTGAACCCTCTACAGAACACAGCTGAGCTCATCAGCTACGTGTATGGTGTTTCTGGGAAAACATATTTAAGGAACAGGACAGGGGGAAACAAGCCAAAGAGAGCTCTAGGAGGAGGAAATGAAAAGAGTGAGAAACAGCAAAATGAATGCAAAGTTCAAAGAGAAAGGAAGAGATGCAGATATTTGCTCAACTGCAAAGCAATACCGTTGACCATACAGAGCCCATGCTGGACTAGATATCAGATATCCCTGAAAAAAACTGGCACGCTGGAGCCTATGCTAGAGCAGAGAGAAAGCGTAAGAGGGAAGGCGCTACAGAGAGGAACCTCTGTGTGCTGACCACAACATCTTTGCTGCACCACCTGGAGAGAAGAGTGGAAGTGAAGTTGAGTTTAAAGCAGCAGGGAAGAAGCGGTTGTTAGAATGCTTGCCTTTGTTTTTCACTACCCAAATCTCTTCTGACAATAAACTGATTTTCCCTAGATTTAATCAGTTTTGCTCACAACACTAACTGATAAGCCATCTGTCATTATCTGAACCCACTACCTCCCTTTTCTGCTCTATCCCATAGGCAGGGGAACAAACAAGCAGGTGTGTGTCACGTGGCTCTTAGCAAAGCTAACCCACCAGTATCTCTTTAGTTAAAGGAACTGCTCCTAAGGTTTCTTTCAAAAGCGTCCCAAACCTGAGCTGTCATTTAAATGTAAAAGGAAAGTGTGCTAATGAGTTTGAAGACAAGTGCAAGCATTCTTTGTGTAACTGTAGTTCTCAGCATCTTCTTAGTAAATACAAGTGCTCACTATGACCAGTCTGCTATTTCCAACAAAATTATAACTTTTATAGGAAGCTTCTTTCTCTTCTTTTTTTTCTTTTTTCTTTCTTTCTTTTTTTTTTTTTTTTGCTTGTTCATTTGGTGATGTTTGTTTTGTGTCTTTTTTTTTTTTTTTTTTTTTCCAATTACATGGTGGTTTGGGAGAAGTAATTTCTAATAGAAAACCAAAAATTGCATTGTTTCAATTGGACAATCTTACCAACACTCTTAGAGGCCAGTCTGTTTTTCATCCACGTGCCATTAGTAAATGACAATCATTGCTGCTTCATCAGCTTTTTCCCTACTTGTGTTGGCACAGTTTTCTATAAATGAGCATTCAGCTACAGATTTCAAAATGCTCCAAGACAATTTAGCTAACTCAAATACAAGATGCACCGACAGAGTGTAAAGAGTGTGGATTGCAATGATTATTAAAAAGAGCTCACCTTTCCAGGACTGAAATTATTCACCTTTATTTAAGAGAAACTAAGAGATTGTGCAACAATTGTTGCTGAACCACAAAACCAAAGGAGAGTTCTGCATTTCTAAGTTCAGCCAGCCAAAAAGAATAAATAATGAAGTACGTAAGTTTCTGCATACAATAAACAGGTCCATTAAAGTGGATTTATCTGCACCATTTCCCTTAAATTGCAATGATGCCCTACTTTTGTGCAATTTTCTCTATTTTTGTGAAATTATGGTACAAGAGAATCAAATTTTGGGTGGCACTATTATAGTGGGTTATGAAATACGTATTGGGCTAAAATTGGAAGTCCTGCTCACTTGAATCCCGCAGCAAAGACTGAATATTGCTAGATGGCTGAAGAGATTGCCGTACAGTTGCATCAGTACAAAGAAAAGAAGAAAAAAGAAAGTTTCCTTTCTTCTACATGAACTTCATGGTCATGACATGAACAAAGCATGTTCATGTCGTTCAAGATGACAAAGTAATAAACAGCGTAAGCAGCTGGAGGATGAATGCTGCTATCTGGTGTTACGGTTCCATCTTTTCTCTCTTTCACAAGTTCTCTTTTGCAGAAAATAAATGCAGCAGCGCAGTATTTCTTTCCCAGTCCTTGCCATCTTAGGAGCCACTTTACTGTCTATCGTCGCATGCATTCTCACTAGTCTTTCCAGTAGAGCTCTCTATTAAAAATGAAGTTTTCAGCATAAAGATAGCAATTAGTTAAGATGATGAAGTTTTTATTACTCTTGAACAACTCTAGAGTTTTACTAAAACAGTTAAAATTCTCCAGGGTTTTCACTCAGATTTTAAAGAACATATTTTCACTGGGGTTTTGGAGACAGCAGACGTATTCCCTAAAGCACGTTTATGACTCCCCAGCGTGAGCTATAAGAGCCTAAAGTGACACAAACTGTTTATTTTTATAACCAAACCCTTCTACTTCCACTATTTCAAAAATTAAGATAAATTCACAAAGCTGAATTTTTATATCTCTGCAAAACAATCCCTAACACAGCCCATGCTTCTGAAGACACAAGCTAGAACTGATTCTTAGGGCTTATTGTGATTAAACAAAAAGAAATGCTAAACTTTCCAAATTATTCCAAAATTAAGCTTCACTCGTCTCATAGCTTTCTGCAGTTCCCGAATGGCTTTAAATAATGTTAACCAAACAGCATCAATAACTTATCCCACTTTAGAAAAATCTTATGACTAGCTTTTAAGTTCAGCTTTTTCCTAATAGAAGGAAAAGTGCTTTAGAGAAAGTGAAAATAAACCCCAGATACCACCATAGCTCTACAAAAATGAAAGCATTTCACGTATTTTCAGTTCAACTCTATCCAGCCAGTAAGGATGGATTATTTGAACAAAATGGCAGAGTCTTTCTTCAAGCCCTTAGGTAAGAATACAAAATAGAAGCTAGTTAATAATTTTATCACAGTTATTAGAAAACATTTTAAGTAGTTTACTTTGGGACACAGCATTTCTTCTTCCTATCTAATAGCATAAACTCAACACTATAGACAGCCCTATTTCATTCCTTGTCTCCATGTGAACAGGAGTGAAGCTCACCAGCAGTACACCCAGGCCTCCTCACTCTCCCACTTCACAAGAACACCATGTTCACAGGTCCTTCAAGCATTGCCATGGGATCTAAGTTCATGCAATAGTCGTAGCAAATGAGCCCCCTCTTCATAGAATAGCCTAGGTTGAAAAGGATCATAATGATCATCTAGTTTCAACCCCCTGCTATGTGCAGGGTCACCAACCACCCAGGCTGCCCAGAGCCACATCCAGCCTGGCCTTGAATGCCTCCAGGGATGGAGGCAACTTCCCTGCTAACAGGCCGTACTTTGGCTCATTCCAGATGCTACTTTCCTCCCACTTGCCAGATAGTCCAACCTGAAGTTTGCTACTAATTTTTTCTAGTTAAGTTTGCACAGACATGAGGATCACATCACCCCACCCCACACAATATAGCAAGTCCATGGCCAGCCCTGAGAGCCTACAGCCTGTGACCCTTGGCCTCTTCTAGAGTTGTTGGTACCCTCCTGGTGAGGCACGGCATGCACGCAGACACAGAACAGAAAACAAAGTCAAATGGAAAAGCAATCAGAAAGAGAGTTTAATAACCTGGGAATAGGCTACAGTGATGTGGGCAGGGTTCAGTCAAACAACACCACTATTTACATGACACTATTCTCTTTCCTCCCCCGTCCTATTTTTCCATATGAGTTTCTTCCCTAATCCACCACTATTCTTTCCTTCCTGCATTCCTGTCTCCTTTCAATTCAGTGTGCCCCCTAGTTACTTTCCCCATCAGCTCCAGCTTTGCTACACCCCTAACCAAATTATTTAGTTCTGTTATCATTACCTGGGTAATGTCAGGCTTATATTACTGATACAGCACAGCTGGCTGTGCAAGACTGCACCCCCAGGTAGCCCAATATTCCCTTCAGTTATAGAGAAAGTTCTGTCATATTCCCCTTAACATCAGTGAAACTCATCCATCCATCCTTCACAGCAGATCTCTGTAATTCCTCAGTTTTTTCAGTTAGCTACACTTCAGGCCAGTACCTGGACATCTGGCTGCGTAAATTTAGAGGGCTTATTACAAAGACAGATAAAAAACAAAAAGCAGCGTAGATACACTAAATGATCACAGGTTTAATACATGACAGTGCTAAAGAACTGTTTCTGCAAAAGCTACAGTGCAACTATCTGCCACAGCCAAATGTCTGGTTCCAGGTTTCATACAGCTCCAGGTCCTTCGAGGACACGCTAGGCCGCACGGTTCCAAAGGCACTCTCAAAGTCAACAAAAGCAATGGGTCGTACTTGCTCTGGCAGGATGGTTGTGATATCCATGGACTGAAGACTGCGAATAGGGCCCAGAGAAGCTTCACGACATAGCTGTGTCATGTCTGCCCCAGAAAACCCATCTGATTGCTTAACTATAAGTTCAATTTCCTCTTCACTGAGACAGTTGTGCTCCTTTGACATCAGACGAGTAACAATCTGCTTCCTAGCTGAAGCTTCTGGAAGAGGAATGTAGAGTCTCTTCACAAGTCTCCTTCTGGCAGCCTCATCGATTTCCTGGGGCCGATTCGTTGCACCAACCACCAGAATACGATCTTCAGAGGAGGTTGTTGCTCCATCTAACTGAACCAGAAACTCAGTTTTTATTCTTCTTGAAGACTCGTGCTCCCCATCCCCACGCTGAGACAACAGAGAATCAATTTCATCAATGAAAATCACTGCTGGCTGTTGACATCGTGCCACAGCAAACAGTGCACGGACCATCTTTTCCCCCTCGCCTACCCATTTGGAAGTCAGAGAAGAGGCACTGATGCTAAAAAAAGTAGCTCCAGACTGGCAAGCAATGCACTTGCCTATGAGAGTCTTCCCAGTTCCAGGGGGACCAAAGAGAAGAATTCCTTTAGGAGGACCACGTAACCCAGTAAAGATGTCTGGCCTCAGCATAGGCCAGACTACAATTTCTTTTATTGTAGCTTTAGCAAATTCAACTCCAGCAATGTCATCCCAGTTCACAGGAGGCCCGTGGTCCATGATTTCATGCATAATGAGTTCCACCATTTTTGGTTCTATACTTTTCAGTCGTTCATCTACAGGAAGTAAAGGATCTGTTGGCCCTCTGGCATGAGGCTTACACTGCACTCCTCCGTTTTCATTTCCATCCTGTTTTGGGACTGGAGGAACAAACTTGCTAAATGGACCCCGAGATCTACCAGCACCCAATGACTTTTTTACACCTCCATATGTTGAGACTGGCGCACGCTGTTGTAGGCTTTGAGGTTTCTTTTGCTGATCCACCCACAGCTGTTCTTTTGCAGTTCTAAAACCAGGAGCACTACTCTCTTCACTTCCGTTTCTATTCCCGGAAGAACTGTTGGCTTCCATAGTACTGGAAGCCTGGCATGGAGCAAGGCTAGAAGTGGAAGTGCTGCCTTTATCAGTCAAGCCATAAAATGCTTTTCTTTTCCCAGACCATGCTTGTACAGCTGACTGATTGGGAAGAGACAAATTTTGTCCATCACTACAGTTACCTGTAATTTTCAGAGAAGCACCATTTGTCATTTCTTTATTTCCAAACAGCGGTGCTGCCTGGAACCCTGTATGAATCTGTTCGCTTAAGGAGGCAGAAGACACAGGAAGTATATCTGAAGTTTTGGTCACAGGAGGCACACTGCTTTGGAGAGACTTTGAAGACAAGGGATGCTCAAAGAAATGTGGGCCCCGACCTGTACATTTTGATGAGCTAGCACAGCGTTCACTCTCACCGGTGCTGCTGAAAGCACTGGGCCTGGGAAGGCCTGGAGCAGCAGAGGCACTGACCCCTTTATCAGCTAGTACAAGGGCATCTGCTGGTGCCATCAGAGAGCTCTGGACATTTTTGCCAGCCTGTATCCTCTCTTGCACACACTTCAAACCAAATACATTCTCTGTTGTCAAGGCAGATTGCCACTTGTCACTGTCATTTTGCTGACACTTTGCCAAAGTCAAAATGTTTTCGGCATAGTTATTCAAGCCAGTCTCTATGTTGTCAGAGTCAATAATTGCAGAGTATTTCTCTGCGTATTTTTTAAAGAGGTTGGCAGCACAGACCTGAGAGATCTCAGAGCTTGCCCATGCATACTGAATACGCAGAATTTTGGCACGGTACTCATCAGCCTTCTGTCCGGGTGTGCAGGTGCCAGAGGCAATAGCAAAGTAACTTTTCTGCCAGTCGCTCAGGTGCACGGTGCCATGCATCGGGGCCTCCATCACTGACACTGAAACATACATAGAAATACCTGTTGTTACAAAAAACGTTTCACAGCTGCTTATTTGGCTGCTTGCCCCTTTTCAAACTGCAAATAAATGAAAACACACATCATTTTTAATTGAGCGCAGCAGAACTTGTAAGTTGCTTAGCCAGAATGGACACTTTACAAAAAGGAAGCAGCACTGTAGGAAAAGCCACTTAGACTGAGGAGCTCCTTTTCTTCCTTGCTCAAAGAAAGAAAAGAAGAATAAAAAAAAAAATAAAGAAGAAAAAAAGAGAGGAAAAGTTTGCTTCTAACCTGTGGTCTCCTGGGGAAGTAAGTAGACTGCAAAGAATGCTAACAGATGGCCAAGCAAAAACTGACCTTGTTAAATGAAATCAGCAATGCTTTTTCTCCTATTTGACAAGATACTGCACAGTGCAGAGGAGGTTTGAGTACAGGTCATTGTTAAAAAGATGACAGTGATGGCAATAAAACAGAAACAACAAAGTTATTGAGTAGAACTATACGCAAACTGTGAGGGGAGGAAAAAGTGCAATGAATAGGCTTGATTAAATAGATTTGTAGCAAATGTTTGTAACCACTTATTCCATTTAGAACGTACTAAAACCACCCCTCAGCTTTATATTTTTGAGAAAGAAAGGTCTTGTCTGCTTACAGTAATGTTCACTTTTCAATTTTATATTTTAGAATTTAAATTCCTTCTGCTGCTGTTAAGTTCAAAAAATAAGAAAGACGGCCCTTAGCTCAGAAGGGGCATTTTACTAGCTTTGAAAGGATCAGACCATGTTTTTGACGTGATTTCACAGCAGTCTCTCTCTGTGGTCACGTGCAGAAATATCTCTGATAAGGTCAGGACTCAGTAGTTTATGAAGAAGCAAAAGCAAAATTAGAGAAGTCTACTGCTGCTTCTGCAGGGTTTACACTGTTCTGATCAGCAATTCTCATATTCTGATCTGCTCATAAAGCACTTCCTCAACACAGCTGAAATACATCAAATCCTATCTTCTATCTGTTCATCTCAAACTGCACGGGGTTTTTCCAATGAGAAAAAAAAAAAAAGAAAAAAAGAACTGTTAAGGTGGAGGTCGGTATGTTATCTCTCTCAGCAAACAGAATACAAGTCTCTGCGCCCAGCAGCATATTCAAGCAGAGATTCACACCGGTAGAAGCAGCACACGAATGCAGATTAATAACAAAGTGTGCAAAATACAAGGTTGCCAAGAAACGCTGGAGAGGGGAGACGTTCCACAGTTTTTACTTAAAAAAACAAAACAAAAAAAAAAAAACAAAAAACAAAAAAACAAAAAAAAACCAATTTGCCCAGCGATTTCATCACCGAAGCACCACAGGGAGCATAACAATGTGGTTTTCAGCCCAACTCTGTAGGGCTGTTTAGGGAAACCAACACAAGACAGGAGCCAACACACGCGCCGGGCCGGCAGCAGGCACCACTCCAGCAGGCTGCAGCCAGCCGCCGTGCCGCGCCGTGCCGCCCCGCTCCGGGCAGGCTCCAGGACCCGTCCCGCCCGCACCCCAGGGCAGGGGCAGTCCCTCACCGGCACCGCTCCCAGCAGGCCAAGCCCGCCCAGCCAGGACTCGCTTCTCCATCCCTGGCCGCAGGGAAGCCCCGAACCCTGCTCCTCACTCCTGAGGTGAGGAGACGTAACGGTCACCAAGCGCTGCAGCGGGCGGAGCACAGCGCGCCGCGATACATCCGCGCACCCAGCCCGCACCACGAGCACCCACCGGCCACGGCGGCCGACAGCCGCCCCTGTAGATCCCGCGCGCGCTCTGCCTCAGGCCCCGCCCTCCACGTCCCGCCCTACCAATCGGATAGCAGCGTTCTGGCAGACGCAACCAATCGGAAGGAAGGGCAGGGAGGAAGGGGGAAGGTTCGCTGCTGCCAACGTCATCAACTCGGGCTTAGCGCGGCCAGGAGGCGGGCGCGTGGGCCTTCCCGCTCCCTATTGGCCGTGGCTGCGGCGGGCGCCCACCAATGGGCGCGGACTGCGCGCCTCGCGGTAACGCCTTCCGCGGCGCTGTGGCGGCTGGTGCCGGATGGGCCGCGCTGTGCTGTGGCGTGACGGCGAGCTGTTCAGAAGGGTTCTGCTAAAAAGGAAACGTCCCGCAGCAGCTCCTGGGTGCCCCGCAGTTGGCTCAGAGAACGAGTTAAAAGTCACTGGTGGTGAAAGTTGGGATGCCAGAGTGATCTGAGGAGATGGTACCCCTTACGATGGGTCTGGCATGGGCAAAATGGGAAAGGTTGGGCTTAACAGCAGAGACAGACAACTGCTGTGGTTTTCTTTGCAAGCAGATTTTATTCACAGTTGCAATGGTGGGCCTCCTGCAAGCAGGAGCGTGCAGAGAAAACAGTGTTACATCTTTTATCCCCTACTGCCCCACACTTCTCTTTCTCCCCAGGTTCCTCACTGGCTGAGTACTGCAGGTTCACACTCTTTCGCGAGGCTTCACTAATCATACAAATACCAAGTAAACACAAATCCTCACCACCCAAACACAGATATCTTAATTGGTTAATTGCCTTCTAACAATTGCTTTCTTAACAAACATTTGGTTGTAACTTTCGGATGTCTGTTTTACAACATAAACATAAACACAGCCTCTTGTTTAATTACCCCCCTAACATTTTGTGCCACTTTTACACTGGGTCATTGTTCTGGTCATTCATCTGTCCTTGCATAGAGATAAGCTCGGAAGGAGGACAGAAGGGAGTATCTTGGAGCCTGCCTATGGCATCCTTACATTCCCACAGAGTGGGACAGTTCTGCTTTGTGTAAAGGCCCTGGCTCCTTGAAAGTTTGTTAAATGTATTTCACTTCTGCCGGTCTAATGAACAACCTTACAGTATGTTTCCTAGTTCAGAATACTTATACCCACAGTGTTTAGAACAATTAAAATCTATTGCAGCTTTGTGAGAAAGAATTTGTTAGGTAATTCGGTAACTATGTTTCTAAAATATGTTACGAATATGTATATGGTATTCTTACTTTCCACATCAGCTATTTCTAAGGATATGTTACAGCTTAATTCTTTAGATCAACTGCCCTTTTTCAATGTTCAATGCAGAAACAACACTTTCCACACTTATAAAACCAACATGTAGGTTTGACAGACTTTGGACAGAGATTTAAAGGAACCACACGGCTCACAAAAAAGCACCGAACATGAGATGACTTTTCCAGTTGGGTTACAGGGTCTCCACAGATGTCACTTATGTACCACCATTCCATGCTTATGTGACAGACACAGTGACAACACTGACAACCAACCATGGGCATAATCTGACACGCAGAAGCAAGAGGAAACTAGACATAACAATTTCAGTGCAGTGCAGTCTGGGGTAGAATCATGGAATCATTGAGGTTGGAAAAGACCCCTAAGATCATCCAGTCTGACCATCAGCTCATCCCACCATGCCCACTGACCATGTCCCTCAGTGCCACATCCACTCACTTACTGAACACCACCACTTCCCTGGGCAACTTACTGCCACTACCCCTCATGCTAAGCATATTAACAACACCTTTCATAACTACATATTTTCATATCTCACCATCAGTAATAAAACAATCTGCCATGATGAAGAGTGTAGGTGTTGTAGCCTTCCACTCTTTTACTCTCTTTTTTTTTTTTTTTTTAATTACAGAATCTACGTGGTTACTGAAAAGTTATGTTTTTCCTTTCTTCTCCAGTAGCTGCACTGCATCCTTTGAGAGGTGGGTATTCTACTGAAGTGCTTTGCTGAGATTTTGTAATTATTTTTAACAGCATCAATCAGAACAGACAGCATTAGCTTTTGAACACAAGGTACAGAGATAAAGGTTCACATATTAACTATTCATAAATACAGTGTTTCCCCCACCAAAAGTCATTTCACTTACAAATATGTTGCAAAGCTACAGAACAGAAACAGCAGAAAGGTCCTTCTTTCAAAAACATTCTTTTAAACAATTTTGTTCTTGAGTTGATTACATAGCCCAGATTTATTTATTTTATTTTTTTCTGAGATGACTTAACGTCAATGTTCTTAACACGACTTAACATTAATGTTCTGCAAAGCACATGGGGGGAAGAGGCAGTGGGAGACTGATTGCTAAAAAAGCCTTCATTGACTGCAGCTTCAAATCATCCCCAGATTTCAGGAAAAAGTATATATATATAGAACTGTGAAATTCAGATTTCTGTATTGTGCTGACCGTGAGGAAATGCACTTCTGTGGGTATTAGAATTAGGAAGGGACTTTCAGAGATCATGTAATAGGCCAACAGTCTGATCACTTAAGGGGACACCAAAAATTAAAGCTTGTTACTGGGGGGCACTGTGCAAATGCCACTGAACACTGACAGGCACAGGGCGTCAGCCACCTCTCTAGGAAGCCTGTTCCAGTATTTGACCACCCTCACAGTAAAGAAATTTTTCCTCGTGTCCAGTCTGACTCTCCCTTGGGATGTCGCAGAGACAAAATGTGGCCAGCAGCAGTCTGCATCCCATGCCAGCTGTTCCTGGTACACGTTTTATTTTGACAAATATTTTTTTATCAAACAATGATAGCATAGATTACAGATTATTTTCAAGTAATTACTGCTTATAATAACTGAGTTGAAAATACAGAACATCAGGTAGCACATGGATTTTGGCAGAATTCTGAAGACAGAGCATCAATATGGATGACTGAAGTGAAAAGCAATAAGCAGCATAAACAATTTGCTGAGATTTGACAAAATCACTGTCTTAGAAGGAAAATTCTAAGGAGAGAGAACCTGCCATAAGGGCAGTGAGCATTCACTCCCTCAGTTTGACTGTATAATTAAAGGACTCTTGAAGTTCTAACTTCATTTGCAAAAATACAGACCACGTGTGTCATAGCATGTTAGTGACCCAGCTCGTTACATTTGTGCTTCCCTGGTTAGAATATGACCCAAACAGTATTATAACCGGGTGACTAACCTTCCTACAACTTGTTTTTTCCTGAAGTCACTATAATGTCAAATTATTTGGTGATGACACCTTACATTTTTATCTCTGGAGTAGAGTTTTTGTGCTGGGGGCTTAATGTCAGCAACAGAGGGAATACTAACCCTCTGTTTCCATTGCTGGGATCAGTGAATGCTCTTGATAACTAACAGGAAAGAAATGACAGCTCGAGATGCCATGGATATGTCCCTTCTGGAAACAGGCAAGATGAAAATGCAGTGCAGAGAATGAATCACTAAGGTTAGAACACAACTTGCTGGCAAGGATTTTGCTACTGCAGCTGGGCTATGTAGCAACAGCTTTTCATTTTTTTCCCCTCATAACTCAACTTTCCCACCTGCCCCTAAAATTAAACTTGGCAACACAGAGAAAGCCAGCTAATTACCTCCTCCCTGCTGCTACCTCACCACTGTTACTGCTGGTGGTGGTTTTGTTCCCATGTTTTCAGGAGCTCAGTCGCCAGCTGTGAGATGTGCTGCCAGGCAAACTTGACGTGGGTGGATTCCACTGTGCGGGAGCAAATAGCAAAGCGTAGCACAAACTTTTCTCGCAGGTGGCACGGAACCAGATGAATCTTCTTGGCCTCATTTATGCTTTCAAGAAGTGCTTTATTTAGTTCATTTGAGCCCTGAAATCATTGTAATGCAACAGATAAGGTAATGAATTTCAGAAATCTGGAATATGTAAATCCCACCAAGCAGCCAAGCCTGTCACCAGTATCATTTAGCCACTTTCTCATCTGTAAATGCTTTGCCATCAAAGGATTATACAAAAAGTTGATGGCTCTAGAGATCATTTTTTCAGCCCAAAGAGATTTATAAATTAACTGTGGTTTAGAAGCTGTGTTCACTCTATGGCATTTGCAATAGCTGGGTACTTTCTCGTGACCTAAAGTCATAAGCTAAGTAGCTTCATTTAAAATCATTGATTATTGTATCCATTTCATTACAATTTTCTTAGATCTAATTCATAGAATCACAGAGTCATAGAATGGCTTGGGCTGGAAAGGACCTCAAGGATCATGAATCTCCAACCCAGGGGCCACCAACCTCCATATGTAATACTAGACCAGCCTGCCCAGGGCCTCATCCAACCTGTCCATGAATACCTCCAGGGACAGGGCATCCACAGCCTCTCTGGGCAGCCTGTTCCAGCACCTCATCACTCTCTCTGTAAAGAACTTAAATAAAAATGCAAGGCAGTTTTACAATGAACTCTATCAACATTTATAAAACAAATCTTCCAGTCTTCACTTTAGCATGGTTGCCTTTAGAGAATCTTTGGAATATGAAGATGAAAATCTTGTTCTTAGTTAAGTAATAATTAAGGTAATGTATCCCTGGCATGAGTAAAATTAAGGAACCAAAATTTGGGTTGCCCTATTAGAAAGCACCGTAAAAAAAGTATTCACTTAAGTTTCTATAGGAAGTGTCCTTCTCAGAATTTCAGTGTTTTCTACTTGAATTTAGAAATGCAGTAAACTAACCCTCTTCCCACTGGCAGGAACCATTCTCCTTATGAATCCAGGGACACAAAGGTACAGGTGCTAAATAACTTGTAGAAAGTCAGAGGGACTCTACATGCATGCAATATTGAATTTTATCTCCTTCTGTTGTATTTAATTCTTCTTGTACTCAACTACTGAATATGAGGATTTCCTTTAGAGCAGCTGTATGCTTCTAAAACCAAGTCCTAAAAGAAACAGGACTACACAGAAGAGCAGTGATTCTTTTCCAGGTTCAGCTGATGTTGAATTAATGGTTTTCTTAGTTATCTTCATCAGCAGTTAAGAATAAAGCAAAAGATGTGATCAGTTTTTCCAAAACAGCAGTAAATTGTTTTAAATGAAAACAGTGACAGCAGTGTCTTGGGATTTTGGTTCTGATTTAGCAACACAGGTTGAAATGCTGACTGCGTATCCTTGACAGTCTTTATTACCTAAGTTAAAGGAACCCATATGTCTGATTTTGTATATCAACAGCCTGATGCCTTCAGATTTGCTGGCAGCTTGCCATAACAGTGTAAGATATACTGCGTTGATCTCTAGTGCTATAATTTTACTCTTTGGAGAAATATCTATTATGCCACCACTGCTCTTTCCATTACACTGCCGGTAACACAGAATTGTAAGAGATGCTGGGAGTTCCGGTGTTCCCTTACTGACCATTGCAGTATTAGAGCTACAAAAGAACAAATTCATCTGCAACATGCAAAAGAGTACAGTTTTTTTCACTGTAGCAGCCATGGTTCTTCTTGAAAGTATCTCCATTAGAAAATGTTATCTCAAATCTACAGTTGTGACTTGCCCTTCTTAGCCTTCTCCAAAAGAAAACAAAGCATAAGGGAGACATGGCTTCCCTTTGGCAGTAAGGACAAATAAATTCTTTGTGTGCTTTTGGATCATATTACAATTGGAATTGAACCCAAGTCAAAGCCTTGTTTTGACTTAGTATGAGCTGTAAGGGAATTTGGGTGGGAGCCTGAAATTCATGACTGAGGCTTTTAGGAGCTATTCACACAACTTTTCTTAGAGTATCATGAACATTCCTACCTAAGAGATGGACCAACATCAACGTTTTCCATGTCCCTGCATTCCCCCCCCCGCCTGCCATGGGACAATCACTGGTGACAATGATTCCCTACTTTTTTATTGAATGTAATCTATCATTAAAATGATGATCTTTGCTTATAATATGAAATGCCTGTTGCTAACTTTTAAGCAGTACAAGCAGTAATACGATGTTAATGCCCTTGGCAGGGGTAAGAGGAAGAAGGAGAAAGGTTTCTGTATCTTTCTTCTGTTCTACTCTCGCAGCTGCACCCAGGGGCTGCTGTGACACTCAAATGTCACATCAAATTGAAGTTAGTAGTGACAAATCATCTCCCAGAGCTTTGAGAAGAAAGAAGCCAGCTCTGATCGAGTCTGTCAGTTTTAATAAGCCAGTGTTCTCACTCCCTTGGAGGAATGACTAGCTTGGCTTGTATTCATCTACAGACATGACAAGAAGGCCAAACATTAACCCTTTGGCATGATACTTGGATTCCTTCTCTGACATTTGATGAAACAGTTATAATATGAAAGTCATAGATTATTACTGCATCTCTCTCCAGCATGGAGAAAGAAAACAAAAGCTAAAAAAAAAAAAAAAAAAAAAGGATATATCAAGAACAAAGGAAAGAAAAATACTGCTGTTATTTTACAGCTGTGCAGCATTACAGTTCAAGTTTCCCATCCCTCAGCATTACTCTAACTATATAAAAATTACACATAGATTAGGTTTGGGTTGTTTTGTTTTGTTTTTGTACAGGGAAGACAAGTGATGCAAACACTGCTCTCTCAGCATTAGATTTCAGAAGAATCATGCCTTTGTTCTACAACTTGCCTGAAAGTTTACTAGCTAGGTATCCAGTATTGTACCTTCACTTGTCTAACTGTCTTTCCCTGTGGACTTGTTTTCTTCCTATGGAGCACCAAGGATAGGAGACCAGATGTGAATGAACCACTGATCTGATCACAAGTGACAATTCCTGTGTAGTAAGCTCTGTTTCACCAGGACCAACTGTTTCTTTAAACTAAACACAGAGCACTGACAGCTGACTCTGAATCTGCAAAACTGGTGTTTGCTTGACCAAGTCAGCGAGCAGACTCCAACCACCTCTTGTAACTGAGCAGTAAGTGCCACAGAACCTATTCCTCAACAATTTTGAAAAGTTCTCACTACGAAAAAAAATAGATTCACATTTCCACTCATTAGAACAACCCCACATTATCTAGCATGTCTGATCCCCTAGTAGCAGATCTTTTTTTTTTTTCTTTTAAACACCATAACTTCAAATGAAACCATTTTCCTATTGCATTTCCCAGTTTACCATTGCCTTATTGTTACTGATATGTTAAACTATCAAACGGTAGTAACTAGGGCAACTGAATGACTGAGAAAAGAATTTGAGAAAAGGGGTAATATCACACTACCTAGAAGGTGCCAAGATGTGCTTCTGGGCTTTCAGAAAAGCCAAAAGCTCATTTGGAGACCTAAACTAAAAACCACGTGAAACAGAAAACACCACAGAAAGTGCCATTTTTCTTATTGTTTGGTGTTCAGATTCAGGGTCACAACACAGCCCTTTACAGCAGCTTTAGCTGCAAGCTCCTTTATTAAATGAGTTCCTTATCTGAAACAAGACACTGATCTCCTTTTAATGTCTGATATTTTCTTTAAAGAACAACAACAATAACAAAACTTTATTACTTTATCTTCATCCATGAAAAATGTTAAACATATATAAAATTGTTTATTAAATTTACACACATATAAAATCAATAAGACAAGAAGCATTTAATGCACACACACACACATCATAAATAAATGCCTTGGGAAATATATTAAAACTACCACCTAAATCAAAGTCCATCAAGCACAGACTACAACAGCTATTTGGTATGACTGGGTAGACTAAGACTACTTGTTTGCCTTGACTACAGATTTCCATGCTCTATTATGCTTAAATTTCTTGCAAGCATTTGATTTTAAGAAAAATGTCTAAGGCTTCTTTCTTTAATCCACTTTGATCTACATAAATTTTCCTTGCTTTTCTTAAAAAATAATTAACTGTATAAACTACAAAGACTGTATTCTACTGCAGGTGATTGTATTGCTATAAAACATAATAGAAGTATGAAGTCTCAGCTGCTTTACCTTCAGTCGAAAGCAGACTAGTCCCAAGACAACTTCAGCGCAGATCTCAAATCTTTCATCCTGAAGGACTAAATGTTCAAACTGGTGCGACAGCCTGACATGCTGAGAAGAAAAAGAGTGTCTATTGCATAAATTTGATTCATTAAAAGAAATGATTTGCTAAATTGCTTCCATCCTTAATCTCTTTTCTCATTTCCCTCTTCTAATAGGTGATGATACTCACACACTGCCATCTGCTTATGTTAACTTATATCATGTTTATGACTGTCTGAGACCATACTGAGCTATAACAATATTGGATGCTCAGTTTATCTTAGGGATTATAGGTCTGTTTCTTAATGAAATGTTTTATACCTTTCAGGATGCCATATTAATAGTAAACATTTGAAAGAATTCTGTTTTACATTTTCTGCCATTCTCAGTTTTGGTTGAAAATGGCTGCACAGTCTGAAAAGAGGAAAAGGGAGGATGCATGATTTATATAGAAAAAATGACCACAATTCCAGTGGACAACAAGATGGACAGAGACAGACGGGCTTTTTAGAGTAGTTCACTTGACATGAGAATAACTGTGAGGGAGGTAACCTGCTCACCCTTTCTGGCCTGGGTGCTCAGGTCTCATTGAAAAGAACAGTGGTGACAGTAAAATAAAGAAAACAGACAGCACACCTCAGCCTGATATACAGTTACATCAGATACCAACCTAGATCTATTATTCCAAAACGTACGAAGACTGATGCTCTTCCAAAAATCAAACAAATACAAAAAATACTAACAGGCATATTAACAACCAGCAAGGAAGTTCTAATGTCAGTCAGTGAAGCTTGTAAACGTATACAGCAGATTTTGCTTCCTCCCAAACAGAAAATGAATATAAAAGCACTTTGAACAAAAGATCCCACATTCACATCAGGTACCTGCAGTATTATATATATATATTTTCAGCCCCCCCAACAGGCTGTCATCAATTTCATGCTCATTATCCAGAAAAAAGAAGATAACAAAAGTATCTGGCTACTAGAATTTATTTGTATGTCTGTAGTAGCTGATCTACATAGAAAATTATCACAGTTTTCCTATAAACAAAAAACAAAACAAAACAAAAATTAAACAACAGTTCTAACATTTTTCCCTAATGTTTATTTCTTACAATAGAAAAACACTGTTTCTATGGAATAAGAACAGTGATTCAAGGTGCTCTGCCTGGGATGCCAATACCCTCTGCAACCAGCCAGTCCTACTGCTGTTACCACTTACTCTCTGCTGTTTGTTGCATCCATCTTTCATCTCTCTCTAAAATTAGACTGAGCACTCTTTGAGTCAGAAGCAAGAACAATAGCATGCCCAATCCCTTCCAAGGTATTTGAATGTTTTGCTAACATAAATAGCATGGTTTTACAACTATGAAATTTGACCAGAATATACATCCATACATTTGTATGCATAAGTGCACAGGAAGCATATATGCAATATGCACAAAAGCTGCAACAACCTTTTACTGTCTCCTCCTTCCCTCATTTCTATAGCATTGGACAAATTATGCCTTTGCAAAATTCCACACTGCATATACCAAGTCTTGGAAATCAAGATCATAAGAAATTTCTGTTCAATATGATGATAGTTTCACAGCTGTTTATCTGAGTGCAGCCACCAAGTGAATTTAATCAAAATCTGCCTGTCGATAACTGAATAAAAGAATAATTTAAGGTTTGGCTTACTGCAGGTAGTTTTTAAAAGGATACTACAGATGCTGTACACTTTTTAGCAGATATTTCTGTCCTTTTTGTTTTATTTTATTTTATATTAAGAGATTTTTCAGGAATTTGAAAGAGATAAAAACAGGGAAAAACGGACTATTCAGTAAAACACAAATCAAAATTCTATGAATTTAGTGTTCATGTATGGAAGCAATTTTATCCACAGCAGGCTGTAAGAAATAGCAATAACTGTGAAAGCCACTGGGGGGCACCGCGTGTATTAGATTTTTAGAGCACGGGGAAGCAGAGAAAGCTGGGACCGACAAGATTCACCTGTGCAGCTCTGCTTAACAGAGTGATCCAAGACCCTGCAGCTTTGAACTCCTGCACCTTTGTAAGCTCTTAGCCTGAATTGCTCTTACAAAGATTACTGACACTAAGCATAAATAAATTCCATAAAGTTAAACGTTACCAAGCCTGGAGAATTCAAATGGCTCGTAGGTTTCACATCTGCCTCTGCAACTCAAAGAGCTGTACCCCATTCTGGACATGGGTATGTTAATAGCTCACAGGGGTACACACATGGTTTCAGTACTCCTGCTTTTCAAGATGTGCAAGTAAACTATGAAAATCAAGTCTTGTTTCGAAAACTGAAAATCAAGCTGTTCTCAGATTTCTGCTGAATGTGTACAAACCTGATCCGTGGTTATTGTAACCCTCCAAATGCATTTGGTTTTGACACAATCACCAAGCTGCACCCTTAGCACCATTAATTTAAAGTTGACGTTCAAGCTGCATTTAACCTTTAAAAAGTATTTTACCTTGTATATTTTGACTTAAAAAAGTATGTACACAAACCAACTCACATACTGTTTCTAGTAATGTCATTTGGAAAAGCCCTTTATCAGTGGGTTCCTAAAGTAAAATTATATGTATTGTGTTAGTGAAAAATGTCAGTATGTAGGAGCTGAACACCGGCACTTCTCTTCACAGTGACATTTAGCAGATGGAAACATTGAAGCTCGCAAGGGATTTCTGTGTCTCACTACCTCTGGTAAATAACTATTGCCTTTTTGCAGTGAGATAGGAAAAAAATGGCAACTAACTCGTGATTCATCAGGATTAGAGAAAATGCCTTACATAATCACTGATGGGAAGAGTAAGCTATGTGACATTATGGTGCAGTCCATACAGAAGATCTGTACTTATCATAGAACGGCCTGGGTTGAAAAGGACCACAATGATCATCTAGTTTCAACTTCCCTGCTAGACCAGGCTGCCCAGAACCACAGCCAGCCTGGCTTTGAATGCCTCCAGGTCTGGGGCACATATAAACATGCGTGGGTTCCAGCATTTAGATACTTCACTGTATTGAGAATTCACTGTAGGACAAATCCTTCCAGAACTAAAGTAGTTTCTGTTTCAAAGGAGTTTCTTAGAAGCACCACAATAAGTACACATATCTGCGTAACCTTGACAGTTTTCTTCCTAGATTTTACCCCTGTGCCTGCTTGAGCTCACATCTCACTACAGCTGTCCGAATGCTGCAGAAAGTGTCTTCTGAACAGCCACTTGGACTATGCCACTCCCCGGCTGTAGTTCTCTCTCTGGCATCGCTTTCTGTGCTGTGTCAGTTTCTTGGTTGCACAATTTTAAGAGTTCATTGTCATTGATGAGAAGAGGAGAAGATGGTAAAGTGATTTCTTCTGGCCTCCAGAGGATTTATCTGACTCAGAATGTTCAAGAGAATTACCTACAAGAATGTTAATTTCTAATTTTTCAGATGACTTCTGAGAAATTTGAGATGACTTAAAAGGACAAAGGAGTAATATATGGTCAAGAAGTTTATAGTGTGCTGTTTACAAATGGGCTGTTTGGGTTTCACATCTATATCGATTTTGAGTGTTTGGAATCAGACTATTATTGTTGTTTTTGCCCTGTTTACATCTCTTCCATAGCTGTGAGCTTTCCACCAAAATTCATGTTTTTCTCTCCCCATATCCATCAGAAATGACTCCCTTTGCCATGGCTTCAAAGTCTATTCTTTACAACAGGTTGTAAAATATTACATGTTTTCTGGGAAGAAAGTGCATAGCTGGAAGATTCGGAAAACAAAACAAGTTACTGTATCTAAATCAAAATCACTCATTCTCATCTCTTACAAATATTTTGTTTCTAAATGCTTCAGTAAAAACAAATGCCAGGTGGCAGTGCTTATCCAGTCATTTTGATGCAGACATTGAAGGCTGCAACATAACAAACATATTTTTCCCACATTTAACTACTGATGAAGAAAAAAGAAAGATTTTGCATGACAGTTTATATTAAAAAAAAATTTTAAAACTTGAACTTAGTTGCATATGTCTTTGACCCGTATAGAATCTCACTAATCAAACTGCCAATATGGTGGCTTCTTATGGACAAGCAGTGTTTCTTCCCTCCTTATCATGTCGTGGCTCATCACCATTGAAAACATCAAATCATTTTGTAAGTATAACCTGGCTGTGCAAAGGAAGCCTGACTAGAAGTCTATGAACACTAGATAAATCTTCCTAGTGCTCTGTGACTGAGGAGCTCAGTTGTCATTTTTGCTAGGCAATTACAGCATTCACACTGAGATTCATATAAACCCAGAAAGGAATTGAAACTCCTGGTCCCCAATCTCTTAACGAGGCCCAGTCATGCACCTGAACAGTCACGCCCTGGCTGCAATTGTATGGGGTGAACAGGCACAACATGGCCTACACACAGGAACGTTGACGTATGAAAACTACCTGCTGCACAAGTGCACATGCATCCTCTTCCCCACATATCAGCTCAAGAAACTGTTTGAAAACTGATTTTCTTCCTGATTCTATTAGCAAGGCCTGTTCCTTGGGGCACATTAGAAAGAGATAACTTCCCACTCCCCGGCTCGACTCCATTCTCTACCTGAAGTTTGCAATACTTGTACCTGCCATTGCAACCTAGATCTCATGCTAGGAATGGCCTCTCTATGACCTACTGTTATAAATATAGCCTTAGAAATAATTCTGGCACTACAGGATTTCCCTTAAGACAGAAGTACCACAAGATACAATAGTGGCTATTCTCTTCAAAGATTGCCTTTGCCAGCAGTGGAAACATAAATACATAAATTCTGTCCCTTGCACAATATTATGGTGTGTTTAAATGAAAGCATCTTTTCAAGGCTATGAGTGCTAGGGCAAGCAATGTTAAAGTGAAGAGAACAAGTTTAGTTAAATTCCAATTTACTTTTTCTTTTAAAACTTGTCTGTAGATTAGAAAATGTGAACCAGCATTGGGTTGGTTTCATTAGCACACGATCAAAATTTATCAAAATACATTTGGAACCCAGGATAATTCCTGAGAAGAGGGAAAAATGGGTAAGATACAAAACATATTCATAATTGTTATTTTGCAACTACTGATAAAACTTTACCAACACATCTGCAAACTTGCAAGTCATATTTTACGGAAATTCTACAAAAGTAAGAAGCAAATGAAATGCAATTTCTTCTTGAAATGTAAGTTCAGCTAAGAGTTGCTGGAGATAGAAATGACTGTTTTTTGTTGGTTTTTTTTTAAAGCTGCTTTGAAATGCACCAAATTTAATTAGCTCTCATCAAGGGGGGTGGTGAGGAAAAGTGGACTTAAAGGCTCCAGTTTGACAGATGTATACAGTGGCTCAAATTCAGCCCTTAGTTACCCTTACTAGTTTTCCAAAGTTGCAAAAAAAAAGTTGATAACTTTTTTTCCCTCTGTATACAGAGGAACACTTTCATCCATAAAGAAATATTAAACACACACTCAGTTCAACAAGGCCTTGGAAATCTAGCTTTCTGATTATCTTCACAAATAAGGGATCATACGATGGTTCCAACTTAGCAGTCAGCATCTTTAAGAAAGAATTGATTTGCTTTTCCTTCCTGAACTGCGCTGTCATACAAAATATAAAAACAGCTAAGATTATGAGAACACGAGCACTTTTTCTCTGGGCAGCCAGGAAGGCAGGGAACGAGAAAACTGCAAATCTTCTTGCTGAATGTGAGTATTAAATTGCAGAAATCTGCCTGATCAAGGCCATATAGTTAACATGGGGCTTCCAATCCTGTTTTCGCATGGAGAGATTACGCCTACTTAAAAACTTGGTATCATGCTGAAATAATTGCAGT